CTCTATATAACCATCCATATCTACTTGGCTAACCACTGACTAGCAATGGCTAATTGCTTATAGTCAAAAAGATATGTTTCAAATGAACCTTTAACCTCCTAGCAAAAAAAAATCCATTCCTTCCTCCATTATGCACAATTAGAATATTCATCACATTGTATCCTACATTTATGAGAGTCTCCTAAACTCAATTAGTCCCAGGCCAAATTTTTCATAATCTCTTTTGGATTCTAAGAATGTGACACTTTATCTGGCACAATAGTTGACTAATTTATGTTTGTGAATTTCTCAAAGAGTAAATAAATGGATGACACCTCCTTTCAAATATGTACACCAAAATTATTGGAGGGAATTAGCTTTCAGGTCTTCATCCCCTGAATAATTTCCTTTCCCACTAATAGAAAAACGTGGCAGCCATACATATTTCCTCGGTGTAGTTCAAAGCCAGTGGTTTCTATAAAGTCTCCTTGTCTGTGTGTCTTCCTGTGCTCCCCAAGAATCTTATAAATATTGTCCAAAGACGGTTGTGGAGTGCTTGCATGGAGAAAATGGACAACGCTCTGCTTTTAAAATCCCTTACTATATATCTTCTTGCCAGCAACACTCAAGAAGCTTACGATCAGGAATTTCTATCTTTCCTAAAGTTTTGAGTACCAGGAAAAGGGATAATATGAGACCTGCAATCCTCTCAGCCAGGCCTTCCAGCTTCAGAAAACTAACATTAAGTACATCCATCAGAACAACACTTGGGTGATAAAGGGATGGTGGGTCTTTAGCAAATGATTGAGCTCTAGAAAACACACTTGGTTTAAAGCTTGATATGAGTTCCCTTCTTCCTGCCTTTAAAATGCACAGCAACTCTTAAGTTTGAGGAAGCAATGCATCATGTAAAGGACGCTTTGCATCAAAGGAAGGAAGAAAAGGAGGAGGGAGAGAAACCCCACATTTACAAAAGAGAAGAATTCGCTATTGCACAGTTCCCCTCTGCCTCCAAAAGAAAACAGCAGACAAGCAGTTTGCTGTGATCCCCTGGAATCTAATTTCTGCAGGAATGTGACAGCTGTAGGCTTCAGTTAGTGTCCACAAGCCCAGCCTGTGTCCCCTCCCTCTTGCCCTGTACGACCTTCTCCAACTGCTCCCTAGGACCCTTCTCTTGGAGCTAAAGAATACATTGTTCACAGTCATTGGGAAAAGGGATTCGCTTTGCTTTCAGGAAAGTGGGGTGTTGTTCCTCAAAAGGACTGGAGCAAGCTATAAAAGGAAGCTACAGCGGGCTTCTGTCTAGTAAAAAATCCTATTCAGGAATCTTCCCAATTTGGCGCGTTGGTCCACAGAAGTGACTCCACAGCCTTAGAATAAAAAGCACGGCGGCTTCTTGCCTGCTGCTACAGAGCCAGAAACATTTCAGTGTTCAACTTCCTATTTCCAGCCTAGTATTTTCGGCCACCGGACTCCGCACCAGAGCATTCACCTTCGTCCCCTCCCCCACCGCCCCATCTCCTCATCTCCTGGAGAAAAGGAGCCCCCCCCCCCGCCCGCCCTACACACACACACACACACACACACACACACACACACACACACACACACGAACTCGCCGCTTCCTTAGGTTGCAGGCAGAGAAAGACACCAGGGGAGGGAGATAAAGATATTCCTACATCCTTACTAATCACCCAACGTGGTTGGAGGGGCGGGAGCGCAGAGATTCAGAGATTTCAAACCTAGTACCTTGCCCTCTACCTTGCCACTGGACCATTAAATTCAGAAATTCGGTGTGAATAAAAAAGGTAAGAGGCTGAATCTGGAAAGAACAGAGAGCAGCTGGAAGGAGGGAGGGGAACCCCCACACACACCAGGATCTGAAGCCCTCTTTCAAAAAGCGCAGCCGGCAAGGCGGCACCTTGACACGCCTTAGGGGATCCGGGTGCCTCTAGGAGGTGCGGCGGTGGGGGTCGGCTGCGCGGGAAGGGAGCTAAGGGACTCAGGGCGGCTGATCAGGGGGAGCGCGCCCCGCAGTTTGGCCTGCTGGAGCCCCCAACCGGCACTCTCCGCTTGCACTCCTCTTGGCCAGCGGAGCCTCGCCGCGGCGGCTGACATCATTGCCAGAAAAGGAGGGGCTGCCGGGACGAGGAGGACCCCTGCACGAACTGCGTTCCTGCGGCTTGCTGGAGGAGGCGCTTGCTAGCCGCTTGGCAAACTCAGAGCCCTGGCGGCGGCACCCGAACTCGAGCTGGGCGCGGCAGTTCTTAATTTAGCATCAAGAGAAAGGTAGACTTAGACCTTGGCTTGTCCATCTCCTGGTTCTTTCTCAAAACCGCCTGCACACTGTGCGCTCTGCCTCCAATAAACCAAAGACAAGAAAGGTGAAACATGGACACATACTATCAGTTACTTTCACTGGCTTTCAAATACCTCCTCCCCCAGTACAAACACACTGGCAAAGACAGTCCTGAGGCTATCTCTCGCCCAGACCGTGAGAATTTGTTTCAAACAAGATTAAAAGTGCATGTGTTCCAAAGTTGCAGCGGTGCCAGCAAGTGCACCCTTCCCCCATTCCCTTTCTTTCAGTCCTGAGTCACACTTGTTTTACTTTTTCTTTCTTTCTTTTCCTTCTCTCTCTCTCTCTCTCTCTCTCTCTCTCTCTCTCTCTCTCTCTCTCTCTCTCTCTCTCTCTCTCTCTCTCTCTCTCTCTCTCTCTTCCTTTCTTTTCTTCTCCTTTTCTCTAACTAGAGGACAAGGAAGGCAGTCTCTTTAAGTCACCTAGCACCTTCATCTTTTGTGCTCAGTGTTTTGAATTCCCAGCCCGCTCCTCAGGTTGTTTCCTGTTTGCAGTGGTAGGACCATGCACAGGGCTCCTCTGTCCCCATCACTCTCTCATCTTTCAGCCCCCTTTGCACATGGCCTAGATTCTCAACCACTTTTTTTCTACACTAGGTCCATTGTACAGAAACAGCCCCTAGGCCGGTATAAATCTGCCTTTGGAAAGTTTCCTCATAATGGGGGAAAGAACAGCATTACGTTTTTGTTTTTATTGTGTGTTGCTGCTGTCCTTTAATTTTCTTTCTTTTTTTTTTCTTTTGTCCTAGCCCCACTTCCCTCCCGGATTTACTTTGTGGGTGGGTGCCGCAGTGGCGCAATGTTGGTCTTCCAGCCCCCTGAGACAATATTTTGGAAGGGCACCCTGCTCACAGAGGCGAGTGCCTACCTGCAGGCATGCGCTCACATACTCCAGGAGAGCATCCCAGTGCCCTGAACCCTAAGCCGCAAAGGCGGCTAACCTAGTGGAGCCCTGAATAAATCACAGGCAGCAAAGGGGCCATCTTCACTAAGCCCCAAAAAGTCTTTCCTTAAGGGAGACATGGAAACGGATCCTGCTGTGCACTCTGGGACATTGACACCTCAGGGACAAGTCGCTTTGTGACTCTGCTCATAGGGAGGTAGTGTCCCCAACCTGAGGTAGACAGTCGCTGCGCTTTTCCAAAGTCTCTAAAGCAATGTGGTCACCTTTTAAAGTCACCTTTTCCAATGACGCTCTTAGCAAGAGGCATTTTCGCAAAAGGGGGCCGTTTTGTACACGCTCTTGGAAGATCGTTCCTTTGTGGAGGGAACTGCTTTTTGCGTTTCTTTTGGAAAATGCCATGTATTTATGACATAGGTGGGCGTTCTTTTGGCTAAGGAATCCCAAGTCATTTCTCTAGAGAAAAAGGAACCCTTTTATGCTAGGCTTGACTTAGGAAGTCTTTTTATTTCCCCCAATGAGAAAAGAACACCGGTTTTCAGCTGCTGCTTTATAAGAAGTTGCGTTTATAAAAAGGGGGCAGAATTTCCCACATCTACCATTTCCACATCCACTAGGTCCCAGAGTAGGCAGAAAAGGATGAGCGCCAGGAAGACCAAACCAGGGGGACCCTGGGCGCCCTGCTGCGCGCATTCTTTTCCCACGCCCTGCGGCAAGGGTCTAGCCCCCAGGGGTTTGTGCTATCAAACTGGGACTCAAATTGGAGCCCCCAGAGAGAGGAGCGCATCTGGGCCTGCTTTCAGCGTCCACCGTGGATTTGCTCCTGGGGCATTGCCCCTCATCTGGAATCATTCCAGGGGACACCCCAGCTTCCAACAGTACACCCCCCTCCTCCAACAGTCTGGGGCGTCAACTCTGCATCCCCACACTTTCACGATCAGAGTTTCATTCATCTTCGCTGAAGCTGGCAAAATCAGTTAAAGTGAAAGACCTTTTTGCACAGCCAATCTCGAGGAAATTCATGCGCGGACACTTTTCTGACAAAAGTGAGAGTTTTAGCAAAGTAACCAAACCGAGAGGAGGCAGTGCCAAAAGATTTTCTGTGCGAGCTCACCTCCGGGGTTTGCTCTTTCTCTTACCTCTAGGGAACAGAACCCAGAAGGGAGGGCACCAGCAGCATCTCTAAAAGCGTGCTGTGGTCAACTGTCCAGATCCCATGCACAGGCAATCACCACGTCCTAAGTGCAGGACATGCCGGCCGTGTGTCCCCAGCCTCAGCGGCTCTGGCACCCGGACCCAATACTTACCTCCTGTTAAGACTCCTCTTGAGTAGAATGAAGAGGGGAACGAAAAAGGAGAAAAAAGGCTTCCGCCCGCTCCACGTAGACTGCGATTGCTGTAGCGGGATCTACCGCCACAGCTCGCAGTCCGCGGAGCAGCTGTTTGTCGTGGAGGCTGGTTGGGAGGCTAGTCGGGCCGCCCGGGCTAGCTGGGCTGCCGGTGTCGCCTGAGTAGCCTCTGCTGCTGCCACTCCGTGCACTCTGGTAGTCTGGCTTTCTGCTTTGCTGCGCGGGCCGCTGCTGGCTGCTCTGGCTCACAGCTCCTCCCGCCCTGACAGTTCGTCGACTGCAAGGAGCCACTGCCAAGCCAGCCCTTTTCAATGGCGAGGGGGAGGGACTAGACAGGAGGGGTGGAAGGGGGGCAGAAGGGGGGTGAGCGAGTGGAAGGCGGGGGAAGAGGAGTGAACTAGTGCCCTAGCCGCCTGCTGGGAGGGGATGGCGCAGCACCAACTGCTGGGTACCCCCCTTTTGTCCCCACTCCCAGCACCCCCGCATCCCACTCCAGCTCAGGAGGCGGCCTCTCCCAGCGGACGCTGAACCCCAGGAGCGGTGCGGGGGCGAGATTGAGGTAAGCTTGGGAAGTTACGCTTGTGGCCCAGAGAGGGAAGCGGAATGAGCACAGCCTACAGGCTCCTTTATGGGACAGGAGGTTTAGGGGACCGCACAGAGCAAAATAAGAAGGGCATGCGTTCCTGCCCGCGGGTGGTCCCTCTCTCCTTGCACTTTAAGTTTCACTCCTTTACATTATCTTACAGAAGTTTGATATTTTTTTTTCTTGGTTAGTATGCTTTTCTCTAGATTCCTCTGGCTCCCCTGAGTCCATCTGGAGAACCGGCACCCAGCAGCACCATTTTCTCATACAAAGGGTACTTAGGGCACACTAGTGGAAGTAGGGGCAAGAGCCAGGAGAAGCCGCAGTTTGAGCCAAGTGCCTGTTTCTGAATATGTCATATTCAACTGTGAACGGTCTCTAATAACTCAGCTGCCTAGGTCCACACTCACTCTCCATTGTGGGGTGGGGTGGAGTGGGGATAGAATGTCTGAGGAGAAAAATCGTCATTTGGCTATCCCAGAGAGCAACTAAGAGCATTAAGCAGGTCGGTCAGTGTCTGTTGCCCTGTAGTGGGTGAATCACACTGTGAACACCAGCACGTTTGAGAGGCAAGAAATGATACCAGGCGAGGAAGATCCCGGCCTGGAGCTGCAAGCCCAATGCTTGCCAATATGCTTGGCAGCCCAGTTGGTGAAGTCTGGCTGGCATGGGGTGTCAGATCTCCCAAGAGCACTAAAGCAACAAGGCACACTGTGTCTGGTATTGGCTCAGATATATAATGAGTATCAAGAAGCAATAGCTAATTCCTTACCTATAGAATGGGATCAAAACAAGTAATAACACCCAGACATCTCTGATTCTTATTTCAAGGAGAAAGTCCTTATATGAGAGAATGAGACAGGTGAATGGTCTATATTATTATGTATGAAAGTGTGCATTTTAGGAAATAATCTACTTTCTTTGATTAATGTGAAGAAAGCTTACATTTCTGGTTCTCTACTTTGGTTTTGAAAGGGAAAGCTCTTTTTGCTTTTTTTTTCTGAAGAAAAGGGGAGAAAAAGTACACTGCTTTCAGGCACTAAAAGCTTAGCATTCAGTTTTACTCTTGTATACTGAAGGGAAAATAGCATGAGAGATTGCATCTGCAAAGGAACAGAATATGAAAAAAGGAAATAGTCTGCTAGTTAGTATTAGTTGATTTTCTCAAAACAGCTTTGTTTTTCAAGAAAGTTCTCTTAAGGGCAAATCTTTATGAATCCACAAATCTTTATTGCTCCACTGTGAACTACTCTATTTTCCTAAACCTTTTCCAATTTCCAGTTGTAGTTTTTTTTTTATTTTTATCTTACAAGTTGCGACAAAAATTCCTCAAAAATCATTTTTCCTGTTGTATTTTTTCTCATACCCGAAGCCACTGCTAAGAGAAAGCCTTAGCATGCCAGTTGAGTGCACTATGCATGAAATGAAATAAAGCACAAGAAAGTATTTGTTTGTACAGGTCCAGGGAGACACTTTACCATTACATTTTATTCCTGTTGTACCTCTGACTTCATTATTCATAGTACCTAGCAAATATTTTTTTGAGCAAGGAAATGTGTAGGGGATGAAATCAGATGCTGTCAAATAGTTACTGTCCTTATTCTTGGATGTTGCACTGTTGGGTGACACTGTAATAGGGGATGGCAGTAACTCAATGAAAATAAAATCACTGATCCAGAAGAACGTGAAAAAGCTATGTCACGGGGATACTTTCAAAGCACAAATAATTCTCTATAACACCTATAGTAGAGATCAATCAATTTATTTCTTAAGATTTCCATCTCAATTTGGTGTAAAGGGAGAGAACTAGTCATTAACTGTTCTTAAAGCTATCATCATGACAGAATAATGTTGTTAATATTAATAAGTCTGTTTTATAATTCCTAAACTGATACTCATAAAACACAGGTAATTTTCACAGGACATTAAGCTAAACAGCTTAGTCTCTGACATTCTGTTCAGAGTGGATTATCCTTACATTTGGCCAAATAAATAATTTATAGTTAATATGTATTCTTCTGTAGTGCAAAGTGCACTATTTTATTTTATGTGGACAGTTCAAAAGAAAACCATCTCTGTGGAGTAGAAGCATTGCTTGTAGACCAAGGAGACCCTGTAAGTTGAACTAAGTAACCCAGAAAATCATCTGAGAAAAAAATGCAGTTTATTGATAAGACTGACAGAAATCCACATCTAAAAATAATGAAAGAAATTTCCCCATTTTCTCTTTGCCTGTATTCTGACTGATGGTGGCACCAGTGAGCAATGGAATAACCAGAAGCTAAGACACCTGGCAAAAAACAAACTGAATTCTAACTCTGAAAGAACTGATGAGGACCTTGCTATGCCTGCAGAGAGAAGGACTCTCCTTTTCTAAATGAATTGATGGACTTCCTGCATTATTAAATCGCCCTATTAATCATCAAAAACCACTCCATGAGGTAGATATTATTAGCTTCTCCTTTTTCTTTTCTTTTTTTGATTTTGTTTTAACATGAAAGGAAATAAGAACAGATAAAATGCCTAATATTTTATAGCTATAAAAATCTAGAGTTGGAAAACCCAACCTATACTGTTTGCAGTACTTTATGCTGTCCACTCACATATGTTTTCAGATTGTGTGCTTATAGGCTTTCATAATGTAAATTCTACAGGAAATCTTATAATTAACTAAGTCTTCAAAAGTAAAAAAGATACTGTGCCAATGTGTTTGTTGAAGGAAATGACAGAAAGCAACTGTGATATTTATTGCATTTCTTCACTGTTCCAATTAAAAGACTGAATTATGATTCTGCTATGCTTATGAAAGTGTAATTATGATAATCTATACCTTGCAAGTATGGAAATATGCTCACTATCTTAACTTTAGCCATCATAGTATTATATGGTTACATAAATGATCAAAGAGATTTCTTTTTTAAACTTCAGTGAGTATAGTTGTTTCTCAGACCTGGGAGAATTGAACACTGGGAAAGAATGTGTTAATTTTAAGAAGGATTGAACAGCCATGCTCTCCTAATAAAGGAATGACTATTGGTACTGCCTGTTAAAATATATGTCAATCACTCTGCGAAATCTGTTTTTTTTTATATGAGATTAGTGAGGACAAAGAATTTCTTTTATTTCAGTTTCCCTTACATTAAAATACTGCTTATTGAGTAATTTGCTTGGGATTTGCCCTCCTATGTTATCACTGTGCAGAGAAAAACACACTTGACCGAACATGTCGATCAATCATAGCAAACACATTGTGTCTCTTACATGATAACTGTTTTACACAAAATTTAAGCCATTTTGTGGTGTACTAAACAACTTGTACTGAACATTGTGCATAAATAATATAGTTAATAGATAATAATGGCTATTTGGAAAGTAGATAAGGCAGGATAAAATGTATTCTCCACATTTCTATACTTAATATTGATTCAGAAACAACTGCAAGTATTAGCAGACAATGATGCTCAATGGTTAAGAAAAGAACAGTAGTTTTAGACTAAACAGGGAGTCTCAGCTCTGCCACTTTCTAGCTGTATGGTTGCAAACAAATAAACCTCCAGGACAGTATTGTCCAGCAATATAGCCATTTTCCACATGTGAGTGCTGAGCCCATGAAATGTGATTCTCAATTTGAGATATTCTGGGAGCATAAAATCTGTAGCCAATTTTGAATATTCCTTGGAATGTGAACATTCACATACATATATGAAATATCTCATCATTGCATACCAATATCACTATACAATGTCCATATTCTGAGTAATTGTTTGAATGAAACTATCATTCATTCAAAGTAATTGCTTTTTTCATAATTGTAATGTGACTGCAGAAAAATTTAAAGCTATATATGTGGACTTTTAAAACATATTTAGTGGCAGAGTTGTCTTCTGAAAAGTTTCTGTTCATTCATTTAAATGTGAGGATAACATTACCCACCTAAACATACATATGCAATTTTTTAAAGATAATGTACCCAATATGCTCAACACTGCCTGACACTATGTTAAGGAGTTGTCATTTTCCAAAATACTGGTAATAAAGATACATACTAGCATTAGGATAAAGCTGTGGTATTCATGAATGATAAAGTATGTACAAATGTTCTGAAAAGTTTAGAAACTGTTTTTAATTACAGACATTCTTACTACTACAGCATTCGTATACACACACAAGTCAAAGTAAGTCTGAGAGCAGTACAAGTACACAGAAAGGCAAGTGAATTCCTGCTGAATTTAAATATGGAGAAATGGAAGAAATCTTGTTTGTACAGCCCCCTAAGGTGCTAGTAGTTTTAGCTGCAGAATTTTTTTCCCTTTCTGTACCTAGCTGAAAATCGTTCGCATAGCTTAACTGAAGACACTAGAGGGTGCTATTAGTGAAAGCTTAGAAAAATAGTCTTCTAACACCCATCCCCCTCTCCACCACTATAGATTATTAGAATTTGAAAGAGGCATACCTGTGAAATGAAACTCACAGTTCTCGATTCTCTCCTGGATATAACTTGTAAGCCTTAGCTTTCTTTTCTGGTTCTTTCTTTTCTTTTCTTCCTTCCTTCCTTCCTTCCCTCCTTTCTTTCCTTCTTTCTTTCTTTCTCTCCCCCTGACTCCCTCCTTTTCTCTGGGCACTACCACATTACTAAAACAATATTAGATGTTTGAAATAGTACTTGGGCAATTAAGTGGGAAACATTTGAATCGGTTCTTCATTCTACAAACAAAAAGCTGAAGGAGGAGGGGCAAGGAAAAATCCAATAATGGATTTCTTAAGGAAGAAAGATTTTTACAGCCATAACTGACTTCTTTAACAACCTTGCTAATGAAGTAGTGGTGAAATAACTGTGAGTGATCACGTCATCTAAGAGTCTCTTCCCTTCAGGTCTGAACAGTTTGACACTTGGAGTGGACAAAAGCTTCAGCCTAGTTTTTATCTCCTAAGCTCAGGGAATGGCAGCCTTGTGTGTATAGCTGAACTTTGCTGAAGCACAAGACTCTAATTATTGCCAGTAAGAATGAGTCCTAGTGGTTACTGTTTTCCACTAAAGAATGTATTTCTTGTATTGTACTCACACTTTTCTATACTGTATCAAATGAAACTTCAAAATCTGTGTGGTAATTGTTTGTGCTGTCAGTACATAAGCACAGGAAAATATTGTCTCTTTAAAGAGTCAAAAATTCAGAATATTATTTACAACTTCTATCTTTATTTCTTTAGGAAGGACATTAGATAAGTTATTCAGATGCTATGCCATGAGATAAAAAAAGAAAAATGCAAGGCACTTTGGCTGTTGAGTAAAACAGAATTCTATTTTTCTTATTTGTTTAATATTGAGGAAGGATTTTTTTTTTCATCTTACCACTATTCTGACCTAGCTATCTCCTTAGTAAGGTGGGTATCAGATAATGCTTTACATTTAGGAAACACACACACACACACACACACACACACACTAGAAAACAGTCACACATTGCCAAACCAGTATCCTGAGGCTGATGAAAAGACATCAAGATTCTTAGACTAATCCCAGACTATTCCAAGCCTTCTTTACTTCTTAAGCTTCTTTATTTCTATGATATGACTATGAGCTAAGCAGGTTTAACTTTTTTGTGGCTTGTGAAATTATTTCTATTTTCTAATGTAGGATAACAATTATAGTGTGTATTACTGAAAAATATAAAAAGTCAAAATACCTTTAAAAATAATTATGGCTGTGATTTAGTCAAAAAAGGTAATTAATGGATGGCTATTTTGAACTGTTTTTCACTGAGTAGTTCGGACACCACATTTTAAATGACTAGACAACACATGCAACACAAGAATGTTTTTTATTTCAAATTAAACAGTTTCTATTTCTTCACTAATAAAACTTAGCTGAATGTCAGTTTCTGTACTTGTTACACATACAAAAAAAAAAAAAAGAACCTAAATCTAAAACTAAACTTGTTCTTAACTGTGAAAATGAAGTTAGTCTTAACTATTCAGTTTCTATTTCTTTTCACAAAAGGCAAACAATGATGATTCAGTTTATTTTTTATGTAGAAAGATGTGTTGAATTTTTACTTTTTCTTGAGTAAAGCTAAAGAACAGTGAGTGAACCCACCTGTGCAATTAGACTTTGTATTAGCCCTCCAGTGGTTATCTTCTTTGACTGGCTAGATAGTAAAGGTTAAGGATTTGGAGCATAGACAATTACTTTTTTTTAGAGATAAATACATATCACAAAAGTGACTATAAAAATGAAACACTGTGTATATCCTTTACACTTTGAATATTAATACCAACTTATTACCATCTTTTCTAGTTCTGGGATGAGAGCCAACATTCATTCTGAAATTTACATCTTTTTGTAACTGTTTTTTTTTTCAATCTTTTTTTATTTAATATTTAGTTTTCCTGTGGTAAACTCAACAAATTTGAGCATTACTGTCCATACCATCTCTAGTTGTTTACTTTCTATTGTTACTTTTCTCATGGCTGTGACAAAAACAATTTTTTTAAAAAGGAGGATTTGTGTTGTTTGTTTGTCTGGTTGTTTGTTTTGGTTTGTTCTGTTTTCTCACAATTCGAAGGGGTAAATCACAGAATGGAAGTCAACAGGCAGATTGGAGCATCAGTGACAGGAAGCAGAGGTCAATGGATGCTGGGACTTCAGATTCACTTTTTTTCTCTCTATTTATTACAGAACTTCAGCCCATAGAAGGGTGATTTTAAGACGGGTTTTTCCACTTCAATTAACCCAACCTAGAACTTTCCTTGAACATGCCCAGAATTTGTTTCCATGTTGAATTTACATACTATCAAGTTGATATTTAAGATTAACTATCACCCTTATCTGCATCAGTAATGTGAGCATATGCTAATATCCAGTACTAAACCATGCTTTGATACTCAGAGCATGGATACACTGCCTGGCATCTACCTGCCCTTTCTCTGAAGCCCTGAATTCAGTGCTGGAACAAAAATACTCTACTTACCTCAGGATTATGATCTTGATAGGACACCTTTCTAAGCAGAGGGAGGGTACAAATAACTTCAATATTCTGTGATATTAGCTTCATATTTTCAGTTTTGCTTTCTTGGACAGTGTATTCTGTGTATGATCCTGATGTAGATCAGTATGCTGGTATGACTTCTGCCATTCATCATAGTGAGTAAAGTATGTTACTTAAAGATCTTAATTACACTTGAACACTGTAACTGAATTAATGCCCACACTTCTATCAATTATAATTCATTCTTCAAAAGATGAACATGAAGTTGTAACAATACTTGAAAAATTACTGATAATAAAAAAGCACAAATAAAATGACATGTAGTTAAAATTACAACGTTATAAAGTTATTAAGTGACATAGGGTTCCAAGCATTTTAAGCTTATTAATTATTAAAATCTTGACTTTCTTTACAGGGATGAGTTGGAAGACAGAACTGCGAGAACATGTTTTAACTGTGTTCTGACAAGCATGAATGGAGATCTGGAAATCTACATTTATTTAAAGAACATTTACAAGATAAGTTGTGTAGGAGCTGTAATGTATCTCTCAATCAGGTCCACTGATTAAAAAAATGTGAATACCTCTCCTTACTTATTAACCTCTAGAATTACATACTTTTGATTGAGTATTGAACATATTAATCCATATTTTTCCAACTAAGTTTATAAACTAATTCTTCATGAAGGAGTAAATGTTACTAAAATATTTATTAAGTTATATTTTATTTCTAACTTTGTATCATGCTAGTCTTTATTCAAATGTCTTTATACACAGCCAATTTAAAAAATAAGATAAATTAACAATTTCTTAGAAGTGTGGCACCTGCTATATTTTACAGAGCTATTTGGACCCAATGTTCAATGTAGACCAACACAATTGTCAAATAGAGTGTACATTTACTCTAACAAGAAGCAATAATTTCAGTTAAAAAAACTGTAGTTCAATAAAATTTTAATAAAATTAACTTGACTTAGATTTGTTTAATTTTTAATAAATTTAAAGAAAAAAATAGAAGGTAATATTTTGCCCCAAGTTTTATCTAAGATCTAGTAAATTGGACTCTGTCTCAAAGCAAGAAAATGGAACATAAAAAGTAGGCATACTCTGAGTCCTGAGGGAAGGAATACAGTAAGTATCCTTTAAACTTCTTTTATTTTCTTTCTCCTTCAGTTTTACTACCACAATTGTAACAACTTATCCTATGCTACTTTCAATTTGAACAAATGCTACAATGTAGGAAAATATTCTTCTGGAGACTGGTAGAAGAAGAAATAGAAGTGCTAGGCGAAAAAAGAAACCTCTCCTTTCAAATAAGTAGACTTTGGAAAGACAAAAATAGTGTTAGGTTTTTATCAAGGAGTGGAAAAATCCAAATTGGTGTCCAAACCCTATCCTTAAACTTCTACTAAACACCTTAATCCCTTTGGACCCAACTTCAGGTAGAGAAGTGGGCAATAAAAAAGAGGAACTAAGAAGGAAGAAGACACAAGGCTGTATATATGGTCGTCAAGGACCTTTAAGGGGCATCAGAGGACAAAATTGATGTTCAGCAGATTGTAGTGGTTTGGAGGTGATAAGCACACATATTAAGTGGGACACCTCTTTATCTTTAATATGCAAATATATATTATGGCTCTCCATCAAAAACAAGTGAAGAGTATATTCTACTAGTGAACTCTTTTGTCCTTTGATTGTGAACCTTAACATTTATGGGCTGAAGATTCTCTCCAGACCTAAGGAATTCACTTGAAACAGTATGAAAAATTCTTCAAGGTCAGTGATTCTCAATCTGTGGGCCATGACCCTTAGGGGTCGCATATCAGATATCCTGCATACCAGATATTTACATTACAATTCATAGCAGTAACAAAATTACAGTTATAAAGTAGCAATGAAATAATTTTATGGGTGGAGGTCACCACAACATGAGGAACTGTGTTAAAGTGTCGTAGCATTACAAAGACTGAGAACCACTGTTCTAGATTGTTGTAAAAGTGCTCTTGGCTCTTCAGCCTTGGCATCCCATTACAATAAGTTAAATGCTCAGCAGCTGGCTATGCCATGCTGTTAACATTCATCTTACTTTGGATGTGCTGCTGTCCAAACCAGATCAGACTGAGTGAGTATATACACATTTGAGATGTGAAGACTAAATTTTGTACATGGAAATGAACGAATGAATTATTCACATGTGACATAATAAGGGGTTCCAAAGATCCCAGTCTTGCACTAATGTATATCGGTTTTGTCTAGAAGTTGTGATGTACATGATATAATTTTAATATGCTCCTTTGTGGGGCACAGTTTTACAGCATAGGAAACACGAGCATACTTGGTATATATTACTCTAGTTAACAAAGCTTGAATCCAATTTATGATTCTCTACTATTATAGCTGTGTGTCGTTTGGGAAGCTACTTAGATTTTTCTAAAGTCTGAATTCAATAAATATATAGTGATAAGTAAAATTAGTCTGAGAATTGTTGGGGGGAGTAAATAAGATATTGAACATAAAAACATCTGATGGAACAACTAGCACAAATATATTAATATCCCTTAACACTACAAAAAATTGGACTTCATGAGACATGTAAAGGAATCTCTGAGTGAAAAGAGTAGGAAACAACTGCATTGTTCATTCATTATCTCTTTATTAAATTCATTATTTTATAAACAATATTTATAATGATACTGTTCATTTCAGAAATCTCAAGGTATTCTTCTAAAATAATTTCTAGTCCATGCTTTATAGCTGTGGTTGATGGATTATATATGCTAAGCACAACCAAAGAAAAAAATCAGTAACTAACTTTAATTTATCCCAGAATATAAGTACTTAGTGACATTAAAACAAAACATAATGTGTATCTTCTCTAAAAAGTTTCTGGACCTTTAGTACATTCCAAAATTAATGGCAATGGTAATGATTCTCATTCTCTCTCTCTCTCTCTCTCTCTCTCTCTCTCTCTCTCTCTCTCTCTCTCTCTCTCTCTCTCATGTGTGTTTTATGTTCATGTGTTAAATTACTTTCCCCAGTTGATTTGTTGAACTATAGGTAATACTAAATAGTGTACATATTATCTTTTCTCCTTTTTCTGTAGGGCTTGATTAATATATGAGTCTTAGTAATGACAAAGGAGATAGTTTTCTGTTGATTGTAAGAGCCAATGCCCAGGGTGGAAAAAAACTACAAATTTGCTACGTGGATGGGAGAACAAAGAGAGCATAGTTTGATTAATAGCCAGTGTTATGCTAACCAAGGGTGGAGACAAGCAACATCTTCAAGGTCAGTGAGTAGCAAAACTGGCCAGGGCTAATAGCCAGCAGCTAGCCAAGGTCTTCAGCTAACAAAAAAGAAGATAAAGATAGACAAAGTGGGACTCTGAACTCCCTGTTCATTGGAATAACAACACATGAATGTTACATGATCCTCTCCACAGTTGGACCAGGTTAACATGTAAAGAGTATGGGGCTTAGCAAGTGATACAGACAGAATTTACCAGCCTCACAGAATTTACCTCTTTGCCTATTTCCAAATATATATTTTTTAAATAAAATTTACACAAGTTCCTCATGACAACCCTCTGAATATCCTATTGTAGGAGACTTACTTGTTTGTTTTCTGAAACAAATCTTTAAGTCTTAGAAGCTCTGCCTCATTTTCCCTTAATGTTTCACTTTCCTTATTTTCTGTACTAAAGTCAACTTTCTACTTGTGTACTTTCAAGTATCTGTGTCTTTAGATCATCATCTCATCGTCTCTGGAAGACAAAGATTGAGAGCTAATGTCTTAAGTTAAATTTTGGTGACCACTATTCATCTGTCATTTGAATCCTTTAGTTATCATCTTTTGGGCTCCTTGATGCTCTCAAATATCTGGATCAATAAGAGTTAAAAATTAATAATATTGATAATAATGAAAAATTCCTATAACACACTATAATAAAAGTTATATAAATATGGTCCTTCTCTCTCAAAATATTTGTTTTATTTTTAAAGAGCCTTACTATGTAATCTAAGATGGCCCTGATTCATCCTCTAGGATGCTAGTATTATAAATATGTATCACTACAACTGGCTATCAAAATCAACTTTTTATTTAAAAGAAATACTGTATGACATATCTTTGGCATATCTGTGCTGCTACCATTGTTCTTTCAAGCCATTATTAAATAAAATGACAACCATTTAAGCACAAACACAATATTACAACAGTCCCATCTGAAAACTGGATGGATACAAAGTACCTAATGTGAGGTAACAAAGGCATAATTCATATCCTAGGCAAGATAACATTGAAAAGTGAAAGGTTCCATTATGTTACTTTAAACAACACACAATTTAAAGCATATGAATTATTTGTTTTTGGAAATTTCCACCTAATAGTGTCAGAACACAATGGTTCACAATTGACTGTAGCTACTATCAATGGTATAATTTAGAATCATCATGGAAACCAACCTCGCTCTGGACATGTCTGTGAAGAAGTTTCTAGATTTAGTTTATCGAAATGAGAAGATGCACCCTAAATGTGAGTGGCACTATTCCTTGAGTTGTACTCATGCACTAAATAAAAAGGATAAAGTGAGATGAGCGCTAGATTTCATTAGCTAGAATTCTTCCATCTCTGCTTCCTGACTATGAATTTGTTGTAACCAAGGGTCCACATTCCTGCTGCAATGCCTTCCTTAACATGATATTCTATATTTCCTTTAACTGTATGCTGAAATAAATCGTTATACCTTAGAGATTCTACTTGTCAGATATTTGTATCACAAGAGGTATAACTGACCAAGGTAAGAAGTGAAACCACAGAAAGTGAAATTATGAATGAGGGGCACAAATAAATGTATAGAGGTAAATATTTTACATAGAGTTCTTTCAATTATAGATCTTTTGAATATATGCATATTGATTTTAATAACTGAAATAAATGAGGTATAGTCACCATGAAGGTAGTGAACATTAGACTTGAGTGACTCTCATTGACCTCTTCTAAGATCTCAAATTAGGAACACCATTGCTATATGAAGTAGCAGTGAAAGAATAGGTAGTACAAAATGTTGGGGAAAAGTATTGCAATGATGTTTCAAGTAGTTTGTTATTGCAATATGTACTAGCTTTTTTCCCAATTCTTTAATATTTGCAATAATTTTATGTATTTAGTATTTCTGATTTTTATATTAATTTGTTCTTATTTAAAGAGAGAGCCTTCATTTTAAGTTTCAGCTTTTCCCAAAAGATTCTGTTATATTTTTTAATGTCACAAAATCTTGTTTTTCAGAAGAAATAAGAAAAATATTTTTCAAAGTGAGGTTTCAGTTATAACTCTGGGACTTTAATGAATGGATTAGTCCTACAAAATAATTTCATTTCTTTTTATAGTAATTAAAATTGTTCTTAGACAATTCCATACATGTACACAACTCTTACTGTTCATTCTCACTCCCAACTCTTTCCTATCTCTGGACCAGATACCCACCATACTCCTCCTAGCTAATCTCTTTCTCAAATTCATACATAGCCATTTGTTTTGTGACCTATAGTACTCAAACGGGGCCATCTGTGTGACCATTGGTTTGAAGCTGTCCTTTGGAACCTGATGGGCACTGTTGGGTGACAATACTTTCCCTGGGGAGAAGAAACATACACGTTTCCTCACCCCACATAGTGATCCCACAAAAGACCAAATATCAGTACCACCAAAGTCCAACTTAGTGAATCAATGACTTTTATTGTGGTTATTTACAAAAATATGAGTGAAAAATTACTTACAAAAGCAGAAATGACTCAAATACAGCTGCATCACCATATCTCACTGCAGCATGGGTTACTGCTTACAAAAACTGGGAACCTGGAGCACACTTGCCCAGTGTGCAGGCAATTCAACAAGTTTGGAGAGTGTCTTTTTAAAGTGATTCAGTTGATCTAAACCTCTTCCAAGAAGCTTCACTCGTTTCTTCTT